TGTGTGTGTGTGTGCATGCGTACATATTTTAATTCATTGACAGACAGAATATCATTTATATCTTTCTTCTAAGTGCCGTTGACCTTCATGACGTAGGCGATCACGGCTCTCCACAATTTCCTGCCATTTGAAGCTCTTAATAATTTTTCTCTTTTCGTTATTTCTCCTAAATCTTGTTTCGCCATCCATTTATTCACGCTCACTAAGTTATCAGTTGTTTTTCTCTGTCCCTCTTGCCGTCAATCTGTCCTGTGAGTATCAGATTTTCCAAGCCCTCTTTCCTCATTATGTGCCTCGGACATTTCAACTTCCTCTTCTCGATGTTAAGTATTAGTTTCCTCTTCGTTTCCATTCTTTCCAAAACCTTGTTGTTGCTCACATATTCCGCCCATAGTATCCTCAGCATCTTTCTGTAGAACCACATTTCTGTTGCTTCACGTCTCTTCCTCATCTTTGAGGAGAGTGTCGACATACAGGAGGACAGATATCCCGTAACAGTTCAGTACTCTTTTCTATGTTTCCAACGAAATTTTTCTGTCGCTTAATACTCTGCTTAGCTTTTGGAAAGCCTCTTTAGCCATCACAAAACGTCTCAAAGGGTTAAATAACTGGGAAGCCTTATGGCAGAGGACGGAAAATGTGACACTGAAATCAGAAGACACGTTGGATAAACAAAAGATGCATTCCAAAAGCTAAACATTCTTCTTCTTCTTTTATGTACCGTGTCCCTTCAGAACGTAGGAGATCATGGCCCTCCACATCTTCCTGTTCCTTGTAGCTATTAATAAGTTTTGTCTTTCTATTAGTTCTCTTAAATTCTATTCTACCATCCATTTACTCAAGTCCGTCAAGTATGAGACGCGCTGCTTTCTTCTGTCCGTCTTTCCCTCAATGTGTCCTGTGAGTATCAGATTTTCCAAGCCTTCTTTCCTCATTATGTGCCCTAGAAACCTCAGCTGACTCTTCCTAATGTTATCGAAAGTCTTCAAGTGATGTGGTTTTATATCATTTGATACAGTTGTTTGTGATTGTATAGCGCCAGTCCACAATGTTCGAAGAAGGCTGGTCTTCGTTAAAACCTACTGATTCTTTTGCCCGGAGCCATCTTTAACAATCAATTGAGAGAAAGCGGTTCTATACAACTGACACTTTAGATATTCCTGACCGCGTTTGGTTATTGTATAAGTTTCCTTTTTGTTTCTATGGTAATTTAAGGTGAGCCAATCAGCTTACAGTTGCTGATTGGCGCACTTTTCTATCTCTTTTTGAAGAACACTTACTGTTGGTAAGACCTAAGAAATGAACACTTGTAGAACCAGCCAGTTCTATACTGTTATCATCACAGAGTCCGTAGATGGCAAAAAACATCAACTCTTCTTCAGCAGATAAGTTTGCAAGGACATATTTGTATTATTGTTTAATACAAGTTCTATAAATCAGAGGTTAGTCGCGTTCTATTCTTTATTTATTACAACATCTGCATCCACCATGTTGGAATCTTATATGGGACCCACTTCAATTCCCCATACTATCATGGTATTTCATCTCGCTTATTAAATTATAAAATTAATCTAAGAAAATTTTACAGTATTTTAAATTTTATTATTTTTTTCATAAAGCATCTTCAAAAATAACTAAAAGTGAATAAAATATTAGATTATTGCTAATATGTTAATTTGTAAAAATTACTTGGTAGTTACCCACCACCCCATCAAAAATGGGTTCACTTAGATTTAGTAACTTTATTTCAATTCTTGTCATCCATACTAGATATTAAACACCACGGAGTTCATCGATACATCGATAAAGACCAAAAAAAAAAAAAAAAAAAAAAAAAAACAGGACCTGCCATTAAGAAATGCTTGTATACTATTTTTTTATGCTATAAGTAATATTTGTTTCAAGTCAGATTATTTTAACTTTAAATTTGCTAATTTTGCTCAAATAATGCGTCACAAATATATATTTTATTTTTGGAAGATCTTTAAAACCGATAATTAAATTTCATTTTAAAACTTTTTAAAATGTAAATGGCTGCTAGTAAATAGATTTTTTTTTTTTTTTTTTTTAAATCAAGCAAATATTTGACATTCCAGTCTATATAATTTCTAGTTAAAATACGCCAGAGTATTTTACCTGCTGGAAATAATCAATTTAATCCTTTATCTTACAGTTAAAGCTAAAAAGAAATCTTCAAAAATGCATTTTCACTTTTAAAAATTCATTTCTAAACCTTAGGTATCGAAAATCTTAACGAAAAAGTGGAGGTACCTATCATACACTAATGGGTTAAATAGTTGCATCCTCCTAACTTAGTAGAAGTTAATTAAACCACAGAAGGCATGAAACTTGGTAATTATTAAATCCAGAGTATAGCCCTAAATATGACGTGTTTGGCGGAGGAGGGGCGTATTCAACATTTGATAATTTTGCGGCAATACGCGCTTAAAGGTTTTAGGCCATTTTGATAAACATTTCTTTTCCTGGTTAGCCGTAAGGAATCTTAAATCTACGACTACCTTACACTTAAGTGAAATAATAACAATAATATTTATTAAGAATTTATTGCAGGAAATATCAAGTTTTACGGAAATATTGTTGACAATTATGTTTTTAGTTACATAACAAATAAATAAAAATAATATAAATTTTGACGCTAGATTCTATTTGTTGTTGGGTATCTTTCATTTTCTCTTTTGTTATTGGCAGCATTTTAGAATATTTTGACTGCAATGCTAAGTTTCCTAAGTTGAACAAACTGAAGCTATTTCATTTACACTTTGTTACCTCTCTTTTCCATTGTTGTTTTTAGATCGCTTTCTTATAGTCATTTTGATGAGCAATAGTGAAATTCTGAAATTTAGAATGATCTTATTCCATTTCAATTATAAAGCCTGTAAAAAGGAATATTTTAAATTAATATACGACCAAAAATAAAAGCTTAATGATTTTATTATAATTATGTAACAATAATGATATTTCACAGACAAATCTACGATTTATGTTACCTCATCTCATTGTATGGTTACGACCCCCCCCGCTTATCTAAAAAAATTGGCGAGCATTTACTAATAGATTAAATAATTTCTGCATCCTAACCACAGAAGGCATAAAATTTACCAATTATTAAATCCAGAGGTTGGCCCCCTAACATTTATTCTATAATGTAGATTAGTTTGATAATGTATTTTCAGTTTTATTTCTTTTAACGTTTATAGTGTTATGTCGCTTTTTATTTTTGATCTCCCCCCCCCACGCCTAAATAAAATGCTTTTGACAAAAAACCTTAATGATTTCCCTATAATTATGTAGCAATAATGATATTTCACATACAAATCTACGGTTAAATGTTACCTCATCTCATTGCATAGTTACGAACTATAAATCTAAATTGAGCTTGAAATATTGTATAATCGACACTAATTTTTTGTAAAATATTTCGATATGAATAATTTACAGTGAAAAAAAGAAGCAATTTCCGATTTTTTGTTGAATACGCCCCTCCTCAGCCGAACGCCTAGAAATTGAAGGTTTCATGCCTTTTTCAAAACTAATTTCATAGCTCACTTCAGGTCAAAGAGACTTTCTCTTCCTGAAGCCTTTTATCCTATATGCAATAATAAAAATGAAATTAACCCATTACTACATAAAGTTTCCTTAAAATGTAAGCACATTTTACTTTCTCGGCCATGCTGGCTAATATCAAGCATAGATATCCCCCGCTTATCTAAAAATTGGACTCCATACACTAATAGGTTAATCTTTTTTTTTGCATCTTAACTTAAATCAAAGAAAGCATGAAACTTAGTAATTATTAAATCCAGAGAGTGGACCCCCCACTTACATTTGTCCTATAATGTAGATTAGTTCGAGAATGTATTTTCAGTTTTATTTCTTTTAACGTTTATAGCCTTATGTCGCTTTTTATTTTTGATCACTTCTCCCCCCCCATAAAGAAAGAAAGAAAAACAAAACGTATAAGTAATTAGTCTACATATTAGTGACTTCACTATCCTATTTCACCAAGAAAAAACAAACCAGCTTTCATTTTTGTATTAACAACCCATTTATATGAATTCAAAGTTCATTTTCACAAAACCAGGCTGTTTGTTTCCCACCAAATATCGCAAGTTTTCGTTAACATCCTGTTTTTCATATGTTTTCATTCTTCAGTAGGATTGTTCCTGTTTCTCTCGGTCGCGGCTTGGCCAAATGAACAACCCGACTCAAAAGCAACGAATAATTGATTCTCTTAAGGCATGAAACAGAAAAATAATGTGAAAATATAAATTATTAATATTAAAAAAATATTTAAGCAAGAAATAAATAAAAAAAACGGAATACGCTTATATTTTCCAAACTTAAGAAAACCTCAGAATATTCGATAAAAAAAATTAGCCTAAAAATAAGTCTTGTCTATGACACCGGAAATAACATTGTTCCATGATCTTTTGACACTAGGAGCCGAAAAATAGCCAAGTGATTTTTCTTTCCTATTTTTACGCTTACAATCCACTTTTCGTGTATCGGTATTACAAATGGTGGTTGCGTAAGACGGATTACTTTTGAAACCTCTTTTTTTGGAGGGCCTTTTCGTATAATTCTTTATTCTTATTAAAGATTTTTTTTTCATTGGGCGATAGTTTACTTATCCTGGTGCAAACGGTAGTGGGTAGAAATTTAAATAGATTATCGATGCGCATAGACACTCATTCACCAATCCAAAATTAAAACATCAAACAGTCCTTTCGAAAAAAAAAAATGGGAATTGAAGTAAAAGTGTCTGAATCCTCAAATAAATTGGAAAATTCTAGGTTTCGCGAACAACCCCAATAGTTTTGGGGATAGGTGCAAGAAATGTTTAGAAGAAAAATTCAGGATAATACAATATAAAGATTAATGCAAACTATTAATCAACGGAGAGAACTAATCACGAAATGTAGACATAGAAACAGATTCAAAATTATATAAAAAATACATGTGCATATATGTGGGGGTGTATGTGTGCGTATAGTGGCAGATCTATCTATCTATCTATCTATCTATCTATCTATCTATCTATCTATATATATATAATGTTACGAAGAACTTGGTAAACCGAGGAGGATGAAATCCTGAGAGCTCAATGTAAATCCAGAGCTAATATTTAATGAAAAACAGACCACTTTAAGACCTCCCATTTCTATATATCATTTCCGTTAAGTTAACCATCTAAATAGGTCAAGGTCTGGTCACTCCTCCTACCCCAATATAAAGCACGCTTAAGAGAAATATGAAATTAACCCCTCCCTACACTCTACCTTGTCTCTTTAACTATCCCCCTCACCCCCCTGTTAAATTACAAAAACTTACACTACCCATCAATTTTTAATCTCATTTTTCGTTTCATTTCGTTGTTGGAAGTGTTATCGGATGATCCGGAGTCCTTTTAAAAGGATTTTGGTGAAATAAATTATTGTAATGGTACCTTAAAGTGGTCTGCTTTTCATTTTATATATATATATAATATTATTATTATTATTATTATTATTTATTTTATATATATATATATATATATATATATATATGAAGATATGCACACATATAAGTGCGTTGGACAGTGTGATTTATTCCATTGGGTGCTCTGGTATTGCCCACAATCTATAATTCAACTAATTTACATTAATCTTAACGGGTTTAAGTTTAAATCCCACATCGCTTATTAATATTATTGGACATCTGTAGTACAAAAACTATTTACTGTGATTTCCAGAAAAAGATGCTTTGGGCCCGTATAAGAAACTCCACATAGCAGGAACTTGCATTTGGAAACTAGAATCAATCAGCATGTACCTTCCAAAATACGACTTGGTAAGATAGATAAAATGTGTTATCTCCCCCCCTCCCTAAATATGGAATCGGCTATTGCTCAACACTTAGTTGAGAATATAGCCTGTGCCAAGTCGTAAAAAAGAAAAGAGTGGTTTAAAATCATTCATACGGCTGGTTCCAAAAATCATTTGAAGATTTTGGAATCAGTCTCTATAGGATTAAGGAAACCTTCTCTCTGCCGGCAGAAAGAATTTGTAAAGTCTCTTAATCTGTTGGGGGATATTTTATTTTAACTGTCCCTCTCTAATTTATTTACACCTTATTTCCCCTCCCCTCGTTACAAGTATATACACTTGTTTGTTATTTTAGCGTGTTCCCCCCTTTTTTTTTAACTCTTTATTTTCGTTACTGTTCTTTTCGTTAATTAATGATCCAACGATTGTCTCCTAATGAGATATTGGTTGAAAGGGCCTTAGAGACTAATAAAATTAAAATCAATAAATTCCTAGTTTTTAAAAACACACACACACACACACACACACACACACACACACACACACACACACACACACACACACACGAAAAGAAATAACCGCATCATTCTATACATGTGCCCATACACACACGTACAAGCGTATGCATACACACAAAAAGAAGAAAAGATCAACCGAAGATCAATAAAAAGAGTATTATGTTTTAACTTAATATAAACATAACGAAAAAAAAAAATGAGAAAATCGGTAGACAATTGCTGATACCTCCTGACGACTAGACCGGACGGTTACAAAAATGTTCATCTACTAAACTCTGCTGTCATAAAATATCAATCAGCTAAGTGACAAATTTGGAGACAGAGACTGTGACTGTCTATTTTAATAATATTTTTATTTAAAAATATTTTCATCACGACAGGGAAATTTCTGTGTTTCGAAACTTTAAATTGTTCCATTATCAAGCGATGTTAGGTAACTTTTGATGAAAATGATTTACTTTTGAAAACAGAATAGTACTTTATTGTAGTGTTATGAAGGAGGGGGGAACAAGATTTCAATGTTTTATGGGTATTTCCTGTTTGGCCAATTAAAAGACAGGTCAAAGCTAAAGCAGAAAAGTGAAAATATATAGTTTAGAGATTAGGTGTGTGTGCGTGTGTGTGTTATTCATACTTGTCTAGATGATCTGTCATTTTTAGACGTGACACCATTACATCCGGTTAAGAAATATAATTTTAAGATACAATGAAATAAGATGTATAACAAAAGGTTAATTTTAGGATTATATTTTTTTAAACTTATTTTTGTATAAACTTTAGAACTATCATAAAGGAAACTCTAGTGTGATTAAATCATTTTTATATATATATCATAATATTTTGATCGTAAAATACATCAGACATGGCAATATTAAAATTAATAATCAAGAAATGACAAAAATATATGTACCATTATATATAATAAAATAATGGATATATAATTGTAATGCATAGATTTTTTTAATGAAAAATTCAATTAACTATATTTTAACGTAAACATTATGCAATGCCTACATATTACAGTCAGTTCATTCCGCTGATTTAATATAATTTTTTTTAGAAAACTTAATAATATGCAGCTTTTCATGTAGACACAGGGGAGATGACTTACAAATTCTCGTCATACTTACATATTTGTACATTTATATGTCCATACATATATGCCACTATATGCACACACCCCTACATATATACACATGTATTCTTATGTAATTTTGAATCTATTTTTATATCTACATTTCGTGATTAGTTCTTTCCGTTGATTTAATTATTTGCATTGACCTTTATATTTTATTACCCTGACTTTTTTAAATCAAAAATCAAATGGAATGGAAAATATTAAAAACAAAAAAAAAACACGCATACGAAAACGAGAATTTGTAAGTCATTGAATGATCCCTGTGTCTAATCGTGCTATCCTCAACCTTTACAAATCAGGCCTCAAATGGATGACTGTTGTCATATTTGGGCTCCATTTTCCAGTCTCGATAGTGTCCAAAAGCGTCTCCTCGTTCTTGTGGCTGACGAATTATTATCCACCTTCCACTCTTTCTCTCACAGACGGGATGTGGCAAACCTCTCATTGCTCTATCACTACCTCCATAGAAAATGCTCGGGCAAGATGTATTCCTTGTTCCGTCAATTGTTATCTTCACTGCTAGGACCCGTCATTCCACTTACATAGTAGAAAACCACCCTCACTCCTTCCGTATTCACTTGGAGAGAGGGGAGAGGTTCCATTCAAATAGCTTCTTCCCGTGAACCACTGACTGCTCTGTGGAACAGACTCTCAAGAGGATGTTTCCCGATCACTACAATTTTAACCTGTTCAAGTCTAGAATCAATCGTTTATCTTTCCGTATAAACTGCCTTTTACTTTGTAACCGTCTACCTTGAGCGGCTCCCGGGACTTATAAAGGGTGAACCTCAGTATAAAAAAAAAGTGCAGAGGCATAATGTACGAATCAGCAGATTATGTCTATAATCTGCCTGTCATGTGTGCTATAAACCTTTAACTGGTCTCCCTGTTTTCTTTGGGTATCCCTAACAGATCTCTCCCACATTCGTCTTTCACAAGCTGTAAAATATATATATATATATATATATATATATATTTATTTTCATTGATGCATGTTTCATTAAATAAGATAGACAAGTTTTGTCTATTTATTTTAAGTAAATTCCTTTCATATTGTCTGATAAGCTTAACATTATCATTGAAAAACGAAAGGAAATCACCATATTGATACATGTTTCTTAATCCTATCTAAGCTAATTGTCATCTTTGATGATGGCTTATGTAAGCCGAAATCTTAACGCATTTTCACCGCATGTCACTAAATGAGATGCTATCGGGATCAGCCGGACCGTTTACTTATCCAAAATGATACAAGAAGAAAGCTTTTCGACGTGACAGATAAAAAATGTGAGATGGCATAATTTTATAAACCGTTAACTAATTAATTGTCGAAAATGACATTTGTTTCGCGTGAATGAAGCCAATTTTACGTTGACATTGTATACCGCCTTACATAGGAATTTCTCGCTCGATATCTGTGTCTCTCTCTCTCTCTGTATATCTCTCTCTGTCTCTGTATATCTGTGTGTCTCTGTGTGTGTGTGTGTGTCTGTCTCTCTATCTCTGTCTGTGTGTGTGCCTGACTCTCTCTCTATCTCTGTCTCTGTGTGTGTGCCTGTCTCTCTCTCTGTCTCGGTATATTTATAGAAGAGTGATCAATATCCGTGAATAGATTATATATATATATATATATATTAGTAACAGTTGTTTGGAAAAGAAAACCTCAGATAGCACAAGTTGTAGATATGTCAAAACAAGTCGGTACACGAGAAAAAAACTTGGAAAAACAAAGAAAAAAAAACTAAAAATATCCGAAAAGGGGCGAAATAAATCGTCCAGTGTCTTTAGTCCAAAGAAAAACAACCCAAGCGAGTAGTAAAACTAAAACTAATAGTGCTCAATGCGCTAAGTAGATCTGGAATAACTAAAACAAATCCTAAAGAGCCAGGAACAACCTACCTAGGTTTCACCTAAACGGATCTTCAGGGTAGGTTTTCCTAGCTCTTTAGGATTTGTTTTATATATTATATATGCGCGGTACTTATTGGAAAGCGCTGAATATCAGTGATAGACCTAACATATTTAGTTGGATTGATGTGAGTTTGTGACCCTAGGTTTCACGCTATTTGCTATCGTCAGACAAACTCTTGCTCAAATCCATGCAGTCGGGACACTAAGGAGAAAGGCTCATCAGGACAGATGCCATGGAAATATTTGTAGAAAAGACGGATGGAAACCAAGTCATGACGACTGAAGTCGAGATTCCATGTCAGGATCGATTACGGTATCCCGAATCCTGTATTAAAATTCACAGTGTGTTATTATTAAAGAGTAAGCGTTTCAGATACCTCGGTGTATTGATTAGCCTTAGGAAATATGGAAAAATGAACAGAGAATAAATTGTGCTGGGGGTACATTTATCCAACTCTGTGGGGTGCTGCAAAACGAAAATATCAGCCTGAACAAGAAATGTCTAAGCATTTTCTCAACTCGATTATTAAAAACACTGTTTCAAGTAAAGGAGTGCTTCTTCAGACTCTATAGACTGGCACTCAATAGCAACATCATCGGTAATCAGTCAATTATGTGTCATGCGTGATACATGCTTAGGCGATCATGAATCTTTCGATACATGTCTGACGAGGCAGATTTTTTTCCCGCTGTAGGTTGCCATTTCTTTCTGCGTTAGACCAGTCCAGTTGCCATCCAAGGCTATAGAACCCGGTCTGTCCTGCTATTTACCTATAGGTGCAGGGAGAAGAAGAGGATTCATACCTCTTCATACATAGGGTAACTGATTCGACTGGAATTCGAACTCCGCTCTCCGATTATTCAATCTGAGACGCTATCTATTACTCCACCGTAGTACATGTAATTAAAAAAGAGAAAATAATGATATAACAAAGTACCTTAAACAAAAGTTTAGGAAGGAAACTCTTATCTGCAGGATCTATAACATTTAGTAGGCTTGACAAGTCTAATTTCCAGAAAAAAAACATTTTGTAAATTTTAACCGACAGTAATGCTGACTGTTCGATCAATGAATGCCTAATGTTTCCTGCCTGGAAACGGTTAATCTCAAGATTACCAAACCGAACTTAGATCTTTGTTTCCAATCCAGACAAAGGTTAGCTTATGACTGTTTTCATTTTTCTTTACTTCTTTTTTTTTCTGATCAACCTTGACACAGTCTAATATTTAATGACATTTTATGTGATCATGTTATACAATAAATATGAACGAGTCGGGAGGAGAGGTAAGCCTGATTGTGGGGCCCCGGGCAATGCTTTGTGACCCTCGCTTATCTTCTCAACATCTGCTTTTTTTTTTTTCTACCCACATTTATATACGTTACAAATTAAGCTAAGCACAACTGACTATTTTTAAAGGATGAAAAACTATCGTGAATTTTGGCGCCATTTTGGGGTCTTTCTTCTTTTGTCCAAACCCGTGAATTTGTTTTTCTCAGGCTACATCACGGGGAAAAAAAGACACCATATAAAATTCGCCATTTGTTTCTCCATAATGTTGAACGTGTTAAAAATGAACTTTTTAACTAGAAAAATCTCAAGTTGATGTGAAAAATTGCCACAAGACATTTGTTCATTTACTTAAGATGGAATTATCTATTATGACATGTCTCTAATTTGTAATTAGATACATTGGATTTATTTTCAATTTTTCTACTTGAATTGTTCACGTATATAGCATATGATCCGCCATTGTACATAATTAGGTTACAATAAAATTTTATTTTATATAAATACTAACTTATGAAAATTGAGATAGCGTAGTGTCTGTGTGTCGGGAGGGGATATAATAGATTCAGCAGGCACGTATCATAGATTCAGAGGGTGGGGCACGAGGTCCTTGCACCGGTCCTATTAGGGCTAACTTCATCAACACCCTCTAAGAAGGAATAGGACCCAAAATGAACCTTTCCAAAACCAAAAAAAAAAAAAAAAATGATCTGGAATTGGACCGGCCCTGAAAAAAATATCACTTACCTTCTTTCGTTCAGCTTTTGTCATTCCAGGAAGTCGTTAAATGGAGACACAGAATATAAAATAAAAGGAAGTAGATTATGAAATTAGTTTGTTAATTAATTATTTAATTTCTGTTGCTATGACTACAGAATTTGTTTTACGTAACAACGAAATCCGATTCCTAACAGTTCAGAAGAGGAAAAAAAAAAACATTTAAGAATTTAAGAAACATCTTTAATAAAATATTATGTATATATGTATATTTCATGGTTTGGTTTGGTTTATTTTGTTTTACTGCATATCAACACTTCAATGAGTTATGTAATGCCGACAAGATTTTTAGGATAGGTTCGTATAAATAGAATATATATTCTTTGTAAGAAATTAGTTTGTAGATCGGGTTTCATTGACATATTTTTGTAAAGAGGGGTTTTGTCGAGTCAAATCTTTTACTGGTAATTTTTTTTTTTTTTTTTCAAAAATACGTTGCTGCTAAATTTTTAAAAGGAATTGCTAATATTTTTACTATAAAAATCTTTTTTTTATACATTCATAGTGTTTCGTCCCCAGTTTAGGGGTCAACTATTTGCCCTTAGCTGGTTCCCTAACAGGTGCTATCCACCCCACCGGTCAGGGTCGACCTGGGAACAATTGCAATTAAGAGGTGGTTCGACGCTCCTCAAAACCTTCTAATCAGAGGCCTTGCTGCCGGGTGTAGTTTATTGTCATACTCAGGATGACCTGTGGAACGTAGTGAAAACAGAATGAGAAGGCTGAAAATGGAAAGGATTGAGGAAAAGATAAAAAAAAAAAAGAACATGGTTCAAGAAGGCAGAAGATGGCGATTAACGTTGCATTTAAATTTTTGAAGGTTGTAGTTATCAGGGAAGCAAGAAATCAGAAGGGATTTCTACAGATGGGAAGTGCGAGAAAAAACTGTTAGAATAGAAGTGGCGGTTGCAACCATCTCCTTCAATAACAAAATGGTGGGATCTAGTTACCAATCTAGCAGCATGCTTAAATTCATGTAGTCGGGGCACCAGGAAAAAAAAAAACCTCATCAGAACAGTTGCCAGGAAAATGTTGGGTTTCTCAAGTCCAGTAACTGTTATTGATCTTTTCAGTATTGTTTCCTTGCTAACCTTTTGTTCGAAGTAGTGTGGAATGTCAACGTCTGGATTATGCAATTATTTTTTCTCTCTCAGTTTGTACATTTTAGTTTTTGCTGTTGTTGAAAGTCCTCAAGTGATAAAATTTCTGTTTACAATTTGCCCTTCTAATATATAAATTTATTTTACACCGTTGTGCAAATTAATTGAAACAACCGCTTTAGTTTCCTGTCTTTCATCATATGGCCAGTTTTAGACCCACTGGAGTGTCAAGGTGGAATCGATTTCTATTTTTTTCTCAAATGAGGTAATGTGCAGTGGTGTGCAGTAATATGAATCTGTTTTGGGGGAGCATGATGAAATTTGGCCTTGAAAAATATTGCGTCATCCTTGATTACATCAGATTTTTATCACGCTCAGATAGTATTGTCTCGACTGTCGATTAGTTGTCCTACGGTCATTGTCTTCGATGGACGTTACTCTAAGAAAGCGTACGAAAATTGTAACGCTTCACGAACAAACTGGCAAGCCTTATGAGTGAGCAAATCAAAGTACTATAGACTGGTCTGGGAGCTCTCCTGACTTAAATCCAATCGAGAATCTGTGGTCAATCTGCAAGGAACAACTTTGTGGAATGAACATACAAAATACTAACATAATCAGTTAAAAAGTGAAACTAAATAAAATGTTAGTCTGATTTTGTTTTATAAACCTTTTGACGGAAGTATATTCAAAGAAAGATAGACGGTATGGTAAAAAAAAAATTGTCTGTAAAGTTTTTTTTTTTTTTAATGTTTGACTTAGCATTGGCTCTAAAAAAAAAAAAAAAAAAAAAAAGACCGCTAGAAATTGTTGACTATTGGTTATTTATTTTACAAATTCAGAAAAAAATCCTATCCTCGTATTTATTGTCCAATGAAAAGTGCAGCTTTCGCAATCGTAAATTTAATATCGAGGTCCGTTGAACCACTCCCGAGAGTATTTAAGACTGATCAGCGGATAGCGTCGGAAGTTAGAAGTTGGACGGTGAGAGACCACAAAAGGTGGTTGGAAGGTAGAGAAGGTCAGAAGGGATTAGACGTTACGTGCGAAGGAGGGTCGGCTTGACTTGGTCGTCGAATATGAAGCTGACTGTAGAAAGGATTTAGGCTTCCTCGTGAGAATGTCACCAGCAGAGCAAAGGGAAAAATATCGACAGTCTTAAAAACAACGCCGATAAAAAAGAACAAAGAGCATCCTTAGGCCGACCACGAAAGTGGGGGAAATATTGCAAAAGATCTTTATTCCTCCCTGGGATTCCCGTCGAAAAAGCACGTGGTTTATTTTTCTTTAATTTTTGTCCCATTTTTTTTTTTTTTTTTTTTTTGTAAAAGTATTTCTTTTTCTCTTTTTCAACAATTTTTGTTTCTCTTAGAATTTT